TGACCCCTGTGACCTTGAAAGTAGGTCAAACTAATTTTCATTCTCAAACTTTGTTGGGCTCTATCCCAGGAAGCCACCAGCCAAATATAAAGATTCTATACCTTTCAGTTCTTCAGAAGAAGTTGTTTGAAGTGTTTGACATATCTGCCTCATATAACCTTGAAAGTAGGTCAAGGTAATTTTCATTCTCAAACTTTGTTGGGCTCCATCCCAGGAAGCCATCAGCCAAATATGAAGATTCTATACCTTTTAGTTCTTCAGAAGAAGTCGTTTGAAGTTTTTGACATATTTGACCCCTGTGACCTTGAAAACAGGTCAAGGTCATTTTCGTTCTCAAACTTTGTAGGGCTCCTATCAACGAAGCTTTCAGCCAAATATCATGACTCTAGGCCTGTCCGTTCTTCAGAAGAAGTTGTTTAAAGGAAAAGTTGACGGACGAGGACGACGGACGCCGCGCCACGGCATAAGCTCACTTGGCACTTCGTGCCAGGTGAGCTAAAAAAAGGGAAAAGTAGAACACTGCTACTCTAGACAGTTTACAGTATACTTAGTAACCTGTCACCCCTGTGGTCAGTGTGTCAGGAAAAGCCTGTGAGACTGACCAAGTGGACAAGTGGTCAGCTTGCTCGTAAATCTGTTGTATATATCAACTTGCTTAGCAGTGTAGTTATGAGTTACTTAACCCTAAAAATATATAGGATAAGGAAACAAGTGGCTGGATTACATATTTCAGATCTCAGTTATTCAGAGTTACAAACTCACAATATACAGGAAGGGGAGAATGAGCCACCAGATCCACGATGCTAAGATACCATTGGTCATATTGGTCAGGACTAGTCCGGGACATGTTGTGTGGGAGTAGATATTCTACAAAACAAAATAAAAACTTTATCAATATCATCCCAAATTCAACAAAAATGATTTATTTTCCAAAGAACGAAACACTGTAAAATTACCAAAGAAACAACACTGTTGAAATGTAAAAGAGCATGATTGTGAAATTCTATCTACGCAACAGTGACCTTGACTTTAAAAATGTCTATCTTGAGCAACAATGACCTTGACATTAGAAGTGTCTATCTTGAACAACAGTGAACTTGACTTTAGAAACGTTTATCTTGAACATGACAGTGACCTTGACATTAAAGATGTCTATCTTTAGCAACAGTGACCATGACTTTAGACTGATCACATCTACATTCAAATTTGTCCAAGGTATCGCAAAGGCAAACAAAATCTGATTTGGTCAAGAAATAATTCCACTGGACAAATGTAATACATTTGTACCCTCACTTTGCTAGCTTATGTCATAAAATCCTTGAAAATTTATTATTTTCTCATAACCTCCTTCCTAAAAACAATGATAACTTTATGGAGTATGTTTATCAGTTCAGAAAAAAAAAATTCAAATTAAGTGACAAACAGATAATTTTAGAGTAACTTTACCTTTCTTTTCAATTTTTCATTCAGCACCAAACTTGTAGTATCAATCACACATTTAGTAGATCCGTAGGGATCCTTACTGAAATACAAAATATAGTATTGGTACAGTACTGTATATCAGGGATATTACCTGGTAATATGGGCCAGGTTCACATTATACCTGCAATTCAGAGTTGGTTTGGTTTGTTTGTGTTTCGAGACCATATGGTGGAGGGCTAGTGATCGTAGATGGTCAGACGCCTGAACTACTTGACCACATGGTTAAGGGTTCAAAAATTCCCTTCTAGAAACATTTTAATGCACATAACCTTGCCTAATTAGTGTTATCGTACTTGTATTCTGTTGTAATTTATAATGTGTCCTTAATCAACTAACAAATAAATAACAGCAGCATTCATAAAAGATATCTGATAGATTTTCAGTGTGGCGCTTATTTGAAAAGGAGATAGGGGTCACATAAAGCATATATGATGAATTACTTGGTAATTTTCTTTGATTTTCAAAAAAAAATACTCAAAAAGAAACAACCCACAAAATTAATAGCATATTAATCCTTGCACACAACTGCAAAAAATAAATCCCATGAAACTGACCATTTTAGCAAATCCACGGAAAATTACTGACCTGGGCCCGTATTTATGAACCAATTTTCATGCTCAAGCATGGATTTTGAGCTCAAGCCTAATTTCTTGTTCTGGTTATAACTCAATAAATAAATCTTATTTTGTCAATGATTTGGAAACGTTTTGAAGAGACTTATAGCCAAATACTGTTTTCAATGTTTACCTTTGACTTTTTGATCGTTTCACATGATCTAAGCGAGCTACCAGAAAGTTGGTTTGAGCACAGATTCCATGCTTGAGCATGAGAACGGTTTCATGAATACGGATCCAGGAATAAAAACACCTGTACAGTGTACATGTACACTACTGTATGTATCTTATATCCTAAAGGGATTTTTCTAATGATGTTGTTGGTTTTGTTGAATATTTTTGTACAAAGTTAAAATGTTTATCTTCAAGTAATAATATAGATAAGAAGCTTAGTCTGAAATTTGATGACATTTTTTAAACTGGGTCCAAGTTTATGATTTGTGAACTTGTGGGAATAATCACAGTCTGAATTGATACCACTCACGGCCACTAATGCTGTTTGAGTCCTGTACTTACCCATTTCTGGCCTGTATGTCGCGGGGGTTAAAGGCTGAACGAACACCAGCCACAGACGATGTCCAGATGATCTGTGAAGACTGTGTACCTCCGAGGATGTCTTCCAGTTCTTTTACCTGATAAAACCTGACTACACTTAGACAACAAATCATACCCTCATTAGGTGATAACTTCTATCGTAATACTCTATACTGGGAAATTTTTGCTGCAGTTAACTTTTCATCTTTTTCACCCTCCGTATACGTAATGAGGGCAAATTTATCATTACAGCTAATACATGTATAAGTAAACACTATAATATCCATAGTAATGAATAGTGAAGACAGAAATAACAAGAGATCCCAGAGGGATCTTGGCGCCCACCTTTGTACCATCTTCATTAGTTCTTTGTTAGTTTGACCTTTTCTCTTCTTTCCTCTAATCTGTTTGATCGAGTCATGTTAACAGTAAATGTACCTTGAGGTAACTTTTGATCTAAACTTAATACTGATGTGTATGAAAGCCAACCTTCAAAGTGAGTTTGTCATTTCACATATTGACTAGTACAGTACTTAATGTGAAAGAAATAGAATCGATCATTGCAATATGAGAAAGATCTGTTTAGTTCTTCTTTTAATCCATTTTGTTTTTATGATCAGTCTCAAAATATAACATACACAACGAGGGATCAAGGGGAACCTACATTTAAAATTTGAGAAAGATCCCTCCTGACTTCCCGGTAAATAGCGATAACAAACTTTCACTATCAAAATCAAAGATGGCTGCCTGTCGGCCATGTTGTTTATCCGATCAGTCTCTAAAATTGCCATGCACAGCTAGGACCAAGGGGAACCTACATATAGAATTTGAGAAAGATCCCTCTGGTACTTCTTGAGAAATAGCGATAACAAACTTTCAATATCAAAATCCAAGATGGCTGCCTGTTGGCCATGTTGTTTATCCGATCAGTCTCTAAAATTGCCCTGCACAGCTTAGGCCCCAGGGGAACCTACATATAAAATTTGAGAAAGATCCCTCTGGTACTTCTTGAGAAATAGCGATAACAAACTTTCACGATCAAAATCCAAGATGGCTGCCTGTTGGCCATGTTGTTTATCCGATCAGTCTCAAAAGTTTCCATGCACAGTAAAGGAACAAGTGGAACCTACATACAAAATTTGAGAAAGATCCCTCTAGTTCTACCGGAGAAATAGCAGTAACAAACCCACACTATCAAAATCCAAGATGACTGCCTGTCGGCCATGTTGTTTATCCGATCAGTCTCAAAAGTTGCACTGTAAAGCTCAGGACCAAGGGGAATATACACATAAAATTTGAGAAAGATCCCTCTGGTACTTCTTGAGAAATAGCGATAACAAACTTTCACGATCAAAATCCAAGATGGCTGCCTGTCGGCCATGTTGTTTATTCGATCAGTCTCAAAACTTTCCCTGCACAGCTAAGGACTAAGGGGAACCTACATATAAAATTTGAGAAAGATCCCTCTAATACTTCCCTAGAAATAGCGATAACAAACTTTCACTATCAAAATCCAAGATGGCTGCCTGTCGGCCATGTTGTGTATCCGATCAGTCTCAAAAGTTGCCCTGCACAGCTCAGGCCCAAGGGGAACCTACATTTAAAATTTGAGAAAGATCCCTCCCGTACTTCTTGAGAAATAGCGATAACAAACTTTCAAAATATAAATCCAAGATGGCTGCCTGTCGGTTATGTTGTTTATCTGATCAGTCTCAAAAGTTACCTTGCACAGCTAAGGACCAAGTGGAACCTACATATAAAATTTGAGAAAGATCCCTCTAGTACTTCTCGAGAAATAGCGATAACAAACTTTCACTATCAAAATCCAAGATGGCTGCCTGTCGGCCATGTTGTGTATCCGATCAGTCTCAAAAGTTGCCCTGCACAGCTAAGGACCAAGGGGAACCTGCATATAAAATTTGAGAAAGATCCCTCTGGTACTTCTTGAGAAATACAGATAACAAGAATTGTTTACGGACGGACCACGGACGCAGGGTGATTTGAATAGCCCACCATCAGATGATGGTGGGCTAAAAACAGGGTAAAAATTGATCTCATGGGCGAAGGGCGATAGTTTGACTGGGCAAAATTCTCCCTGTAAACAGTAGCTGAAATATTAACAAAGGTTATATTTCTATTTTGAATTTCCAAAATTCTTGCTACTTATGATGCTGTTTTTGAGATTTTTTTTATTATTTTACTCCAAAGGCATGTATTCCAGTTTTTAGTAGTATGTTCCAAAACCAAATGCAATCTCACAAATTCACAGTATGGTGAATATATCGGGGGAGTTTCGCAAAGTTCAGATGAAAATTGTAGGAAGAATTATGCAGATAAAATTTTGCTAATGATTTCATAAATGGGGCGTAACTACGAAACAAATAACTGGATCAAAAAGTAACTTATAGAGTAGGTAGTGGACTTACACACTATTTGGATTAACAATTTATGAATGTGTAGCTTACCAGAACAAAATGTCCAAAAGTGTTTGTAGCAAATGTGCTCATAAGGCCCTCTGGAGTTTGTTCATCTGAGTGAACTAGCAACCCATGTCCGGTGTTAAACAAAAACAAGGTGTTCCTGAAAATCAGATAAAGTTATCCCGTGTTATAAAAAACAAGGTGTTCCTGAAAATCAGATAAAGTTATCCCGTGTTATAAAAAACAAGGTGTTCCTAAAAATCAGATAAAGTTATTCCGTGTTATAAAAAGCAAGGTGTTCTTGAATTTTAACTTATGATATCATATATGAACAGCAGATGCACATCACAAAATTTTGAAATTATAAGATTCATCAAATAAACATATCCGTCTTATTAACATCTATTATGTTATTTTAAACTCCAATAGCATGCATACAGGTACATGAATATTCAAATTTATCAACATTACCATCTGAAAACAGTCTTTGGAACTGGTGTATTTGGTAGGCAAACAAAATTATCTATTGACATTTTGTAAATGTAGTATCATTACTTCATTAACTCATCCTCCCCTGAAGACCTGTTTGAACTCTTCAAATTCAAAGGTTGGAATAGTTCATTTTGAAATTTCAGGGATGAATGAGTTAAGTACTATTCAAATATTTCTACAGCAGTTTTATATATAAACTATGTAAGGTAAATCCGTAAATTTAAAACAAAACTGGACAGATTGGTAATCAAGTAATATTATCCAGTATACATTTACTACATCATGAATTAGTATTTTTTGGTGAAAAAGTTATTGCACAAAATCAAACAGTTTACAAGGCACTAATGACAACTTACATTTTCAGAATGGATTTAAACAGGTTAGAAAAGTTTAAATTCTTCACACTCATCTTTCCAGCATTGAGGTACAGATAGTCTATCCTTGAAAATCTAAAGAAACAAAACTTATTATTTAGGTAAAAGAATTAGAGATACAACCTGCATATTTTACAGAATACTATAAAACATTTATGAACATCAGGGCATATATAAGAAACTCAAATTCAATACAGGCAAGTTTTAAATAGAGTTTGCATGATACCGTACATGGTCATGAATCAACTTATTTCTGGAAAGGGGAGACAACTATAATGTTGTTTTAACCAATCTATCCCGAATGCAATTTATCCAACTTTAACCTCCTCATAGATGAGTTTAATATTTAAATTGGTGTAACTCTCTCATGCACAGAAGGCCAAGTTTACAGGGTTTGAAGTCCATACCAGTGATTTGCAATCTTTAAAAGGTATGTTGGAGGATATGGCATCCTTTTCTGCAAATCACATCCCAGCAAATATCTAGAACCCTTCTCTAAAATAACCCTACTCCCTCCATTGTATTCAAGATGGAAACATTGAGGAGTATTTACATGTGTTTGTAGTAGATATGTTATGCTATATTACTCCAGTAACATTTTTCAATCAGCGAATGTTAAAGATTATGGAAATTAAAGTTAAAAACATAAATTGTTAGAAAATCGGTTAACAATAATATATTTATGAAAATTTGCAACACATCATAAGAACTGACCTATAGGCTGTTTATTGTGACTTAATCATCAAGACACCAATAAAAAACTCACTGTTTCTTGATATCACTGATGGCTGAAAGGACTGACTGAATATTGCTGGTATCTAACGTTACTATGGAGATCTGGGATCTGGGATGAGAGAGAAGCAGGACTTTTCGAGCAGTCTCCGCCCTCTGTCTGTTTCGACATGCCAAACAAAGGTGAAGGTCTTTGTGTATAGTTAGGAGTCTCTCCGCAAGAGTCAGGCCAATACCCCTGGAGAAAAGAAAAAGAGGAGAAAAACATAGCTTACATTAATAGTAACAGTCCACAGGGATATGATATCACTTACGCATGATTCAATATACCCAGATATTTTTGGTAATTTGCTAGTCCTACGTCAATGTAACTAGTCCGAGATTTCATAAAGGAGACATACCAAGCAGGAAACATAGAAAGTAATTGACGAAGGGGACATAAAAAAAACTGAAGCAATAAGGATATGGAAAAAAAAAAAAATGTATTTCCTGTTTCTGCTTGGAATAAATTAGAGTCGGTAGGTAAGCAATTTTTTTGTTGTTAATATTTTTTTTATGCTTATATCATAAGAGCAGGAGTTCTGACTTCAACAGTGCTGTCACTAAATGCCAATAAAAACTTTAGGGTAGGCACAACAATCTAGGGTCCGTAGGGAAACCGAAAACAGTTCGTTTTTTTGCTTATGGTAAATTTCCAGATTTTTTTTACAATAAATATTAGTAATCATGCAATATGTTTGTAATTGAAGCCATTTTTCAAAAGGAATATCTTCATTTTATAATCTATCTCTCAACTGTTATTGTGATACATACATATATAAATCTTGTTTTACATGTCCAAGGCCCTGTTATGACAGTTAATTCATTAGTCCTTGCTGAAATCTACTAATCTTGAACTAAAAGACTACAGTGTTGGTGTGGAACTCTGTATATTAGGGACATTTTAAAAGACATTATATATATTAGTGGTTTAGATCATTCCCTTTAACATCCTTGGGCCGAGTGGCATCGACTGTATTTGGTATTGATCTAGCTTAAGCCCTAAATATAAAATATTTAAATACTCCCTTCACAACAGGCATACAAAGGTCTAAACATACACCTATAAACTAAATCCAAAAAGATGCTGTTTACATTTTAGTTATAGGATCATAGTGGAGTTCCCGAGTCTATATAGGAATATAATCCTGGTCGGACGTTATCCATGAAACTGTTCTTATGCTCAAGCATGGATTTTGTGCTCAAGCCAAATTTCTTGTTCCTGTTTCAAAGTAGTAAGAACACAAAAAAGAATAGATTTGTTCTGCTTTTCACTTGGATACAAATTACATTGCAATGGAAATACCTAGTAAAGAGCAATGTCAACACATAATATGCACCAAAAAAGAGAATATTTGGCTTCGAGTTACTTCCCTTTACCTTGTGACAAACATCTCTCATTTTGATACTATGCATTTGTAACAGGAAAGAGAACAATTTGTTCTAACCCTCGATCTCCAGGTTCCTAGTCGGACGCTCTACCACTAAGCTAAAGGGAAATTCTCTCAAGCTCGAAGGCGACCGTAATCCTATGTGCAATTAAAACCAGCCACACATTTATAATGGCAGATGACAGACCCTTGTGGTTTTGTTTTTCTCAAATTGAAAACAATCATTAAATGATGATCAACAAAAACCATTTATATTTCTAATAATGCATCGCAAGATGTGATTTACTATGAAATATCCTTAATTCTGAGGAAGGTTCTAATTTATAATATGATGTGTATATCCCAATCTCATTAAAATCAGATGTTAATAAAAAAAAAAAAAAAGCTATTCATGCGGTACGTGATAATGAACAGCTGTATTTATTCAGATTGTGTATATCCAGCACATGTGTTTTAAAAAAACAGATGTTTCGTTATATCATCAATATCAATATGATACTTCAAATTAATGACACTCTAACACAAGTGATTTCGCGTATCACGTCATTAGCTATGCTAGTTGGGTTGTTTCAACCGAGTAAAAACAGTCATGTTATCACCGTTATCAGTGTACAGTAGTGTTGACATGACAACGTTTTTCAACACCGAAATGAAAACCTTCAGGTGTTTAATTGGAAATCAATCGTGATATTAACATTCACACTCACGCGTTAGCTCCAGTGATAAGGGCAACTTTTCCTCCTCCCATCCTGTCAGTCATCTGTCAACATGCAAAACATTTCCAGTAACAAAACACATAGTGCGGATGGAAACTCTAGAAATATTCCGAGTGATGAAATACTAATATTTTTATTTTAACGTAGTACTTTATCCGAAATATGCAATACACAGCAAGGAAATATTTTACAAAAAGGAAAAATATTGACAGAATGTTACATGTCACTGACGCATGTGTTTTATCTGCATTTGAAAGGACTTATCATTGTTACTATACACAATGTAGTATGAGTAAAATGAGAAAAATAATTGACAGGGGAAGTAAGTAATGAGTAAAATGTACAATGAGTAAAATCGCCTGAAGAGCCCCAAGAGCGAAAGCGCTAGCCGATTATACTAGTCTTCGTGTTTTGTTTTACTTATATTTTTAACGTCACATGGACATTTAAAACTATTTATCGGATTATAATTATATTAGTATATTATTTTATCATTAAACGTGTCTTATACATTGAAACAGTAACTAACAATCAAGTCGTTAGTACATGTATGTATATTTTCCAATTTAGTCAGTTATGTCTATAGCATATAAATGTTTTCACAACAGACTCCTTGAATTTAATTAAAATTCGAAGAAGAGCTCTTCTTTAATGTTTTATTCGTCTAGGAATATGCTTACATAAATACTATACAGAATATGAAGTAACGAAACAAAATACTGTGTCTTAGGCTTACTTCCCCTATCAATGAATTCCTCTCTTTCTAGTTTACAATTCATGGATAGCAATGCTGAAAAGTATAGGATATTAATGATAAATGTCCAGAGATTGATCACTGAAGGTGGGTTTTTTTCAAACACTTAAATTTCGAATAATTATAAATATGCTAATGAACGGTTATTTATATCACGGGCTTAGCAAGTAGTCTAATTCCGTGTTTATATCAACACTTTTCAGACAAGGATTTTGACAAATAAAAGCTATATGTCATGACCTTTACAAATATAGTAATACATTTAGATTGATAGTAATACAAGATCTCTGGCTCGTTCGCTATAAATGCCCGCTCGATTACTGGCATCCATGCTCAGTATTACTTTTTTGGCGCCTTTTTTCAAAGTTAGGTTTTCGATCGTTTTCGACAGTAATTCACTACTAGATAGGTAAATAGCGTTCTATTTATTTTTCTGGTACCATGAAATTTCTACAAGAGCCATTGATATCAATTATCAATTGAACCTTTAGTATATCCTACGACCAATATTATATATAAATTAAATCTCTGTTATTTGACAAAAAGGCATTATTACTTTAAGTGAACAACAAAAATTACATGTTAAATTGAAGTGTAGGCATTATAGAAGCCCATTTTGCGTAAAATGAAAAGTAAAAGTAAATTACCTTACAGAGTACCCCAACCTGTACAGTAACCACACGCCAGTAACGTTGTACGGTTTTAAAATGTCATTGTGGTTATGTACATGTATATAATATCTACATATCTATGTGTGACCCCTGACTCCTCACCCGATGATCACTGATTAGCTGTAACTGAGATAACTGCCTCGCCCGATCTGTCAGCAGAGCAACATGCGATCGTATAAGGTCACGATAACGTTTTGGGTAGGAACGCAGTGATATACATTTGTAGATGCATGAATTTGTTATTTTCTTTTCACGCAAACACAAACTCAGTAAGTTCCCCAGTAAGATGCAGAAATGTGTTGGGTGTTCATGTTGCTTTTAATACCCTTGGCGCGTGCATGCTTCAATCTATAGTGTTTGTGTTTAAAAAGCTTGTTTTATGAGGCAAGTGACGTCCATAAGACTAAGAGGCGGATGCAGCTGTTAAGAAAATTGAAGTTTTCTCTTGATGAGAACGATCTTCGTTCATCATGTCGATGCACCGAGTTTGAGTGTGTTTGTATTATGGACACATCCCCTGATATACAAAATATCGACTTTACTTCTATATCAATAATTATGAAACAATTTATTATTACTTATATTAATCACTCTTGTTGGCCAGAATCTTATCCCGAGGGGGGTGTCTTAATGTGGGTGGAAACTGGAGTACCAGGAGAAAACTCACGTGACGGGCAGGTGACCCCATACTTTTTCACGGACCCCGACCCTGCCCTCTGGTGGAAAGGCGAGTGCGTTATTCATTGCGCCAACCGACCACCCATGATGAGGCCAGCCTCTCTCCATCGTCATGGTCCTCTTAATATGCAGGAAGTGGATTACGACCCGGGATTTTTTTTTATCAATATATGTATTGTAAACCTTTTCGATGTATATCAAATCAAATTTTATTTTGTTTTCAGACACATTTCTTACATTTAAATAAATAATAAATAATTATATAACATATTTTGATGCAAATCTATGATCCGCTTTTAATAAAGAATAGTCTGATAAGTACCTTTCACAAATTCAGAATCAGAACACACGAAGTAGGTTATAAGTGCTCGAAAAGAAGAAGAAAAATTTCGTGACTGACGATTTTTCAGCCGAGTATGTCGGTGTTTCTGGGAAGTTTAGATCAATTGTAACTGTCGATAAATTATTATTACAGTCATGATTAATATTTGGTTACATGTACAGATGAGATGAGTTACATGCAACCCTTAAAAGTGATGCGCCAAGACTTTTAAAAGGAAGTTGAAGATCAATTTCCCTTTTAAATATTTTTACAAAATTGTGCGTGGATCTAGAGTTAACGGTGTTATTTTACTACATGTAAAAGGAGGATGGAGATAAGAACGTATTTCTGCCTTGACTGATATTAAAATATATGCTGATTTATGATATATTCCAGGGATGCTGTGAATTCTGTATCACAGAAATTAATCTTACTTTAGTGATATTATTTTGGGTTGATTTAACGTAGTTTGGACAAATCATTAAGCATTGACAAAAAAATATCAGCCCTTAGATTATTAATACCCAAGGGGACAGGGAGACAATGTAGGCAATTTTACAATTTATTTTCGAAAATATGAAAGGTTGTCGTCTAGGCAATAAATTCGAACCGTATTTATTGTGTGTGCTGAAAGCTCATCAGTTTGAAAATGAAATGATAGATTAGTTCAGACATATTGTATGAATGCTTATAATATTAATATTATGATAATAAAGAAGACTGGTACCAGCTATAACAATTCATAAAAAATATCTTATACCTCAACAATTATGCAACAACATTTTGCCATGGTTCTGTATGTTGTAAACATATTGATACTGCGTTGGGTTTCTCTAACTTTGGAGAAAGTACCAGGCAAGAACAAAAACAATATCAGCCCTACAATTATTAGTACCCAAGGGGGCGGGGGAGCAATGTTGGCAATTTTTCAATTTATTTTCAAAATTAACAGAGGTTGTCGTCAAGGCGATATATTCGAACCGTAATTTATTGTGTGTGCCGAAAGCTAGAAATATCAGCTCTGTAATTATACATAAGTCGCCAAAGGAGGCAGTCTAGTTTTTGTTTTTGAAATTTAGAGAGGTTGTCGTCAAGGCATTTAAAATAGCATCGAAAACATATATATGTAGTATATATAGTAGGACGAGGAATAGTGATAAATTGAGTCAATTAAGTGTGTCAGCAGTAGCTACAGAGACTAGTGGCAGGGAGTTCCAGTCACCTATAGTACGTGGAAAATATGAAAATGTGTAAAAATTAATCATATTTTAAGAAAGCTTGTAAAATTAATCATATTTTAAGAAAGCTTGTAAAATTAATCATATTTTAAGAAAGCTTGTGAAATTAATCATATTTTAAGAAAGCTTGTAAAATTAATCAAAAGGGTTAGCCCAAGTGATAACAACTTATAAATGCCCACGCCTCAACAGTAGATATCGATAGTGATAATACTAGCACATAGACATTTTCATTGATGCATCCCCGGCGGTCTGGCCCACAGGGACCTGATAATTTGTTACAGCTATATTTGGACCTTAACCAGAGACGTATAAAGCCATATATGTTATATACGTCTCTGCCTTAAGTAAGGCCGGTTCAGGGTAATTTTACATGTTTTAGGGGTTTAGATCGACTTTGTGTAAAAAATACTCCCAAATAAACATACATATGATCGGTGGAGTGTCATTTTTTACCGAAAGTCCAAATATAGCTGTAACAAATTCTCAAGTCCATAGCTGTGTTCTGGCCACGGACTTAGATAATCTAATTCCGTGGGTATGGCGGTGCATTTTTCCATCTCCATCTTCCATACAAATATTGCTATTAATTTAAGTATAGTATATACGTCTCTGGATTAATAGATTGGATTTTCCATCTTTCAATAGGTAATTAAAAGCAGTAATTTCAGCTTGAGAAAACTTTTTAATTTAGTCATACTGTAAACGGATAGCTATGTTGTGCATCCTAATATTTTATTGCTCCTTGTCTCGATTATTTCCCTTTAGACTAGTAGGTGGCGCTTTGTGGTTATTTCCGTGGCGCAATCAAATTTTAGCAGGGAAAATCTCACTGAGAGAGCGTGCAATGCTTAGCTCTTTGACAACAAGGGTTCGCACCTTTTTGTTCAAAGACGAAGGGACAATAGCACATGAACAAAGTTCAAGAAAGAGAAAACGGGTAGACGAATGGTAGGTTATCCATTAAAGTCTCCCGATGTTCGACTCTTTTCAACATGCTTCGGCTCTGTGCCAAATGGAGAAAACAAAAATGTTGAACACTTTCAAGACAACAATAGTACTTGATCAAATCCTGGTATTGATCATTATGATAATATTACCAAGAGGAAATATAACTTATATAATTAGTTAAATTAATATCTTTCTATTGTCTTTCCATATATTGACAGCTGTTTTCACATCTGAAAACCGAAAAAAACGGTTTTATTTTTAGCAGTGAATACAATGTGATCAACATTTGTATTTTGATTTTCATATGAATGTAAACATAATTTACAAATTAACAATTTGTTTATCAATTATTATTATTTACACCTTTCGGCACTGCTATTATTGACCGGAGATATTTCGACACTTAAACAATCATTCAATCAATTTTATAAACGTTTTACTCTAGTCTACTTGTACAGTAAGCGATTTAAATGTCAACATCGTTGAAGATTTTCTTGATAGGGTACCTTTTTAAAGGAAATGAAACTCAAACAAAAAATATGAAGAACTTTTGAATGTTTATATTTAAAGATTCATGGTCAGGTTTACCTATCCAATTAACATTAGTACTGAGATATATATACCTATGTTGTCTTTAATATACTTTCTTTTTAGATTATCAGATCATGAGTCTGTTGTAATTACGTATACTGGATCCATTTCACATGTATCCAATCTGGCAATGGACCTGATAATGCAATAATGTGATAGTATTCTGGTGTATGCAGATATTATTGTTAACAAGGCAACATCGGGGATGAATGAGTTTACTAGCTGATGCCCTAGTGATCAGGGTAGAGACGTTTCGGTACTGCAATGGTTTGTTACTTAATTGAAGACATTTCCGTGCTTCTGAAAAGCCGTTTGATATTTTCGGCACTCACTAACACGTGAATAATTTATTTTATTTGCTTTTTGTCTCGTTTATTGCTGTATTTCAATTTGAAGATTTTTCAAACTTTTTGGTCTTTACAAAAAAGTAGGAAACATCCTTTTCTTAAGTACCAAAATGTGGCTGTATACCGAACTGTCTAAAATTCCTCTGGTGTTGCAAGTTTTATGTTGTGGCTTGTTAATTTCCCAAAATTATCTAGGAAAATAAAGGTTTGGCATTAGACTTTAATGTAAGGATATCAGGACAGTGATGATTGTTATACATTACTTTTTGGTCAACCATGGAAAAATCTTGTTGCATTTCGAAAAAAATCTGACAAAATTGGCTTTCATAAATCCGTAAATTTCAAGAGTCTAAAAAAACAATGTGGGGAGGTGTCATGATTGATTTTCCTGAATACAACTTTTTTTCCCAAAAACAATTGAAATAAGCCATTTACCCATCACTTGTATTGCATCACACATCTATAGTGTAATGAGCAAGAGTCCTGTAATATGATAAGACTGATAATATATTTTTTTTAAAATATATATATTGTTACTCAAAGAAGTTAATTCCAAAGCAGTGATTTTTTTGCTCAGTTTTACAGCTGTTTTTTTGGCTCAGTTTTACAGCTAAAAAGTGCCCTATTTTACCAAAATGATTGAAAATGAGGAATGGATTCCCAATTACAATAAAAAAAATGCTATATTTTCCCAATTTATAAAGGAACAGGCTGTTATAAAATTCAGATGAAAAAAGCATGACAAAAAAATATTTTACAAAAAAAATCAATTTTGTTTTTCAGTTCAGAAAATGGAGAGGACGATGAAGATGTTGTCATTGTTTCAGTTAAAAGACCAAAAGTAGAAACCAAATCTCGTAAGTTCCAATGATATATCTGTATGACGTTACAACATGTTGATGGTTTAGAAAATTCAAATTTAAGCTTAAGATGTGAAATAATGATTGATATAATTACAAAAAATGCCAAATTAGCAACAGTGTAATGAAAGAGGCCAAATTCTTTACTATATATATATGGGTAAATTGTTTGGAGAATTTTCATGTTCTATGCTTTTAGGTCCTTTATGTTGAATAGATGTTTTGAATTTCATGACATGAAAAAGGGACAAAATGTTGCCCCAAAGACACTATAAAAGGTAAAATTCTCCCAAAACTTTCGTTCCCCGACTTGAATGAGATTGTCTATCCGAGGGAATCGTGAACTTCAGTGATGTAGCACTAGTCGCTGCACTCTGAAGCAGTTGTGCACCTGTACTTATTTTGCAATCAAGTGGTTTTTTTTAACCAAAACACTGTTGGATAACATTAAAACCATATTACAAATGACTAGATTAACAACACTCGACTGTATATTCCGTCTTTGCGTATTGCAGAGTTACCTTCTCTAGGGAGCAGGTATTGATTGTTACGTCATTGGTTTGTGCGAGAAAATTACGTCGTTTTCTCAAAAATTGATGACGTTTCTCTCACAAACAAGTGACGTAACAATCAATACCTGCTCCCAAGAGAAGATAACTCTGCAATACGCAAAGACGGAATAGATTGACTTAATTTAAACTTGGTAATGGTAGATTATGATCATCAATTTTATTTTCAGTGTTCTCCAGAGTACTATCCAGTCCCTATAAAAAGATGTCGGACTGGGTGAGGAATAAGACGAAATGGAATGACAGCTTCTTCTCAAGACCTAAATTGAAAAACGACAGCAGAAGCACTCCTAACTTTGAACAAACCCCAAGGAATGGTCGTCTAAATGGAGGGCAAAATCCCCATGTTCTTCGCCAAGAAAAGTTTCAGGCCAATCGTGCAGTTAGCAAGTCAAGTGAGGAAGCAGAATTGCGTAAAAAAGACACTGAATCTCTCCAGGATCGACGATGGCAGCAACCAAGACAACAGCAGAAAGCAGAGTCTCAAGTTGGTTTACAGAGCTGAAAATACAAATAAAAATGTGTTGATAAGAATTCTATTACTACTGCATTTTCCCCTTGGCTATGTTTGTCTGCTGAAAGAACTAAAGGCAGCAATAGCGGACAAAAAAACGTCAACATCAAATGAAACCTTAACTACAAGTGAAGCAAGTCTCTGTGATTATGTGTGAATGTATTTATAACAGTCATGCATCAGGTGGCTCTGCAACCATCTCTTGTTAATTACAAATTTTACAATTCTGCAAAATATTTCTGAATTTTGGGCCAAGGGCATTGCATTTGTTTGGCTAGCCTTTGTCTTCCATTTGAAAAAAAATATCCGTCTTTGCTATTAAGCAAATCACTAGCTTAGTAAATATAATTACTAAATGAATTCATTGGTTTAAACATATTTGTTTTGCCTTGAAAATGACAAAAAGGATTGGGCACAAGTTTTTACAACTTAATTAAGCCCTCTCCTAACTTAAATACATTTTAGGTACATCATAGCTGTCTTAACATGTAGATTTCATTTTTTTTTCTTTTTTTTTTCTAAATTTAAATTGAATTAACAAAATGGGTTGTTGACGACTGTTTCTCTGTACCCCGACCTACTCATAGAGAATTAACCGATGTTTTCACACAGATAAAGAAAATTTAATTCTTCGAACATGATGTAATTGTTGTAATTAAGACTACTTACTAGAAGCGGTTTGTATCCTTAATGTACTTACATACATAGGTAAAGATTTTACTGTTTTGTTCAAAAGTGAGATCATGATTACCCCAGAGAAGTGTGTTTATGTCTGTTAGGAGGATCTCTGGAAGATTTAAGTTCCTTAGATTGAATTCATTGGCATTTTTATGTGGCATCATGGTATGTTTGGACAGTCAAGACGCTTAGTAGCACTAGATATCACACGTGGCTTTCACCAAGACAGCCAGGGTTCAATTCCCTGACAGGATGTGAAAAGGTTTCACCTGCCTGACCATGTGGTGTTACTCTTGGTACTCTGGTCTCCCCCCACAACTAACATCTAAACCCTCTGTTCACTTCCATCTAGGCTAATAAGAGTCAAAAGTGATAAATATAAGTTTAAATAACTTGTTTCAAAATGGTTTTTATTATATTTGTATGTAGGGATACAATTATCATAAGTATAATGTGGTTTTCAGTGTGTTGACTTTGTACTGTCTTTTTCAGTCAAGGATTGAGCGTGTGACCTCAGTACCAACACAGACGGAAGATGTTATCATGTTGAATGGAAATGGTGGACATAGTAAGTTTTCACTTATTCACAATCTAGCTTGGCTAGAGCGATTCCATAAATATTGGGAACAAGAAGTACGGAAGGAACTTAAATAGTGATAATTAATTCAAAATGATTGCTAGAATCATATAACATAGGGATGCAAAACGAATTTGGTTGATAACAGTATAAGAATATACCTCCTAGTACCACCCATCATATTTTTCAGCATTAGATCAAAGTTCTGATTATTTATTGGAGAATCATGTGTTGCCTTCATTTACTGCATTTTGACTTTTGAAAGTTAATTTGTCCTTTTAATATTCTTTATTGAATATTTTTTTTCAGTCAATGAGTTTTGATTTTTTTTCCTGTCACAGATTTGTAAATAACATCGTGTTTTTTTGGGGAAAACTGTATGTGACATTATATTCATTTCATTCAAAGAGCAATGATTTGATTGTTTACTAATTAATTACTGCTGTCAGAAGTTGGTGAAATATTTCTGATCCAGAATTTATGCCGCAGTTTATTTAATGGAATTTACTCACAAAATATGGCCATTCATAGCTTCTATAGTATGCAGCATTAAGTATGCAAGGAACGCTATTTAGAGTTATTTTAAATTGCTCAAAAGTATGTTTTATGGTTGAACGGTCTAGAAAATTATTTCAGTTCTTGAAATGCTGTATGCTACCTTATAGATGAACGTGGACAGAATCAGGTCATCAGACAGAAAAGGACATCCTCTTTAAACTTCACGGCCCATAATGTAAGTATCCTGTCTGCTAGACTGTACTGAAACTATGCATTGCTTAAATGTAACTTAGCTGTTTTGATCCTGATCGTGATATACTTAAAAGTGTTAGATTGGAATGATAGTTTTTAATGTGTAGATTCAGGAGTTATATATGATTGGCAAGGTTAAAACTGAAATTTATCATATACTTCTGTGTGATATGGGCTGTTTTGCATGTGTGATACTGGAAGCTGTGCATAGGCCATATCCCAGACCAATCTATATCAGCTTGCAGGCACATGTCATATCTACCTGGCATACACTGTATTCGCCCGGCATGCACCATATCCATTAAAGATTTAAGTTAGAACACTTTCCAGAAATATCACACCTCAAACTGGTAGTGTACACATGACATACATGTCTGTGTATGCTATTCTGTTCATGGTGTTTAAATTTTATTTTAAGGTAGAATGTATTTGTTGTTAAGCTTATGAAATATCAATTTTCTGTCAGTTTTTGTTTTATTGCCTATGTTTTTGATGTTATATAGCAGTATAGTATAAAAAGGTTACCATATGATCCCTTACTATCACTAATCAGTAACATTGCCAAAAGCCTACCCGCAGTTACTACAGTTAGTGTGTCCAAGTCTTTATTGGCATGTACTAATGTATTAATGATTTGTGTGTCCAAGTCTTTGGGAGCGTGTACTAATGTATTAATGATTTGTGTGTCCAAGTATTCGGGAGCATGTACTAATGTATTAATGATTTGTGTGTCCAAGGCTTAGGTAGCATGTACTAATTTATTAATGATTTGTGTGTCCAAGTCTTCGGAGCAGGTACTAATGTATTAATGATTTGTGTGTCCAAGTCTTAGGGAGCATGTACTAATGTATTAATGATTTGTGTGTCAAAGTCTTTGGTAGCATGTACTAATGTATTAATGTTTTGTGTGTCCAAGTCTTTGGTAGAATGTACTAATGTATTAATGATTTGTGTGTCCAATTCTTTGGTAGCGTGTACTAATGTATTAATGATTAGTGTGTCCAAGTCTTCTGTGGCATGTACTAATGTTCTGTGGCATGTACTAATGTATTAATGATTTGTGTGTGCAAGTCTTTGGGAGCGTGTACTAATGTATTAATGATTTGTGTGTCCAAGTATTCGGGAGCATGTACTAATGTATTAATGATTTGTGTTTCCAAGTCTTCGGGAGCATGTACTAATGTATTAATGATTTGTGTTTCCAAGTCTTCGGGAGCATGTACTAATGTATTAATGATTTGTGTGTCCGAGTCTTCGGAGCATGTACTAATGTATTAATGATTTGTGTGTCCAAGGCTTAGGTAGCATGTACTAATTTATTAATGATTTGTGTGTCCAAGTCTTCGGAGCAGGTACTAATGTATTAATGATTTGTGTGTCCAAGTCTTTGGTAGCGTGTACTAATGTATTACTGATTTGTGTGTCCAAGTCTTAGGTAGCATGTACTAATGTATTAATGATTTGTGTGTCAAAGTCTTTGGTAGCATGTACTAATGTATTAATGTTTTGTGTGTCCAAGTCTTTGGTAGTATGTACTAATGTATTAATGATTTGTGTGTCCAAGTATTCGGGAGCATGTACTAATGTATTAATGATTTGTGTTTCCAAGTCTTCGGGAGCATGTACTAATGTATTAATGATTTGTGTGTCAAAGTCTTTGGTAGCATGTACTAATGTATTAATGATTTGTGTGTCAAAGTCTTTGGTAGCATGTACTAATGTATTAATGATTTGTGTGTCAAAGTCTTTGGTAGCATGTACTAATGTATTAATGATTTGTGTGTCCGAGTCTTCGGAGCATGTACTAATGTATTAATGATTTGTGTGTCCAAGTCTTCGTAAGCATGTTCTAATGTATTATGATTTGATTTCAGTGTGTTGATTATGAAGAAAAAGAACAGTATCGACAGCTACTGCAGCAGTTCACCACTGCTCCGGTCACTCCTGGGGCAACGCCAAAACACAAACATTCTCGACCAAAGTCACCCAGTACCATGTCACACAGGTCAGTAATGTTGTAAGGTATATAAGAATTCAAATATAGTATACAACTTTCATGCATTCAGCATCATATAATCTATATAACTTTTCATTTTGAATGTTTGTCTATTTTGAGTAACATCTCCATGGATATTAGATGGGGCTGACCTCTCAGAGGGGTATCATACACATTTCAGGGGTTATTCTCACTTATGTTTTGTGTATCCCTAGCACATATCATGGCAAAATGGAAGGCACAAGGCTATCTCTTTCATTGGTTGAAAGGCTCATCCCAAGGGGTCTTAGAGGGAGGGCTATATTGTAAGTGGTCATGAAGTGAAAAAAATTCAAATGACATCTTCTCTGAAAGTTACTGTGGATTAAGACCAATATTTATGAAAACTATTTTAATATGATGAGGATCAGAATCTATACTCGAGAAAGGGCTAACTCCGCTAGGTGAGCTCTGGGGCTGGGCAGTTATCATGATGAGTGCATAGCCATTATATGATATCTCTGATAGATAATGATGGATTTAGACAGAAGTTTTATGAACAGTTCTTTCTCGCTATGCCCCACACGGGAGGACAGGTAATTGCCCCAGTGGGGTTTTATTCATTTATTCATCAAGTTCGATCTAGTTACGGTATCGTCCATAATTTCATGTAGGTGAACATTAATGCCCATTGGCCATTGTTTTTGATTTCAAATGAACTCATAGAAAAAACCCAAAAGAAATTGAAATCTCCCCCTCCCCACTTCCATTAACTGTTAAAATCATATTTTGACTAAAAAAAGTACAACACGTCAAAGTTTTTGACATTATGCATATACTTTTGACATCAAAGTAACAGTTGACTGTGTTTTCAAATTAGGTCTGTTGACAATTTGTCATTTGGGAGTCTATCTCAGAGTTTGTCATCGAAGAACTGGACTACTAACAACAGATCACGACACTCCACACCAAGTCGTCCATTTACAGAAATGAATGGCACATCCTTCCTGAAAAGACACACCCCAGTCGTGGATATGCTGAAGAAATCGGCAGTGGCACGTGCGCCAATGTATCCGCAGGTCCACACAGACACAGACTCGTACAGAACGAAGAGCAAATCAAGTAAGAACATCTGCGATAAAAGATGAACGACAGAGTGTTTCATACATGTGGATAGAAGTCTGAATAGCCTTGTACCCATCATGATTTTGCTTCGACATATGAATTAGTATTTCTACAGGGCTTAATGTTCGAAGGAAAGTTACTCAAATTAATTGCATGTTTATATCACATTTGTATATTAGGACTATTTACGCAGAGTGAAATGCTGTGTAATTATGTGAAACACTTGTTATTCATTTGGCAGCTAGAAATAAAATATTCCTTTGGGCTGTTCCAGAATTTACAGCAGGGGGAGAAAGGGAGGCACTATTTTCAAATTTCACCACCCATAAAAAGTGATTATATTTAATAAAACGAATGGTGGGAAGATCTGGTTTTAAAACTACCACCCATGATATATTATTACAGGTGCCTCACACTTCTCCAATACAACAATACATTATGGAATAAACCTTATATCAAATGCATTGAGCAATGTGTAAAAGCAGACATGATGTTATGCTGCCATCTGTATTTCTATCCAAAAACAAATTCATATTTTGTCGAAAAAGAATTGTCATCCTGTCCAAAAACAGCCAGCTTTCAGTTTCATTGTTAGAGTCAAATGATGTGATGAATTCCCAAATGATTTTTGATGGCTCTGCCAAAAAAAAAAAGGCGAAATTGACCCCAGGTTATCTCCAATTAAATACGGTGTTCCTTCTACTAGTGAATAGCCAGCTTAAGTGTATAGGTCGGTCAGTTCAGCTACTATTTTGTAATTGACGTCTTTCAACAAATGTTGATGTTTATTTTGATTTTCTTTTCAGCTGAGAATTTATCGAAGTCAAAATCATCAGAATGGTCAACGTAAGTATGATAAGCAAATGGGGTGGGGGATAACTAGTATTGATGTAGCATAATTTTGTTTGATATTTAAAACATTTTTTATACATTTTATAACAGAAAGTAGCTCTTCTGCCCAAAAGGTACGTGCACTTATGCCATAGAGTGTCCACCAAACATCAATATCTGCATCTGGCATCAACTTTATTTCTTTAAACAAATTCTTAATGACTGAGAAGCCTGGAGCCATATTTGGCCATTGGCTAGTAGCATGCTAGAATAAAGGGCTATCTAGTCTGTTTAAATGGATAGCCTTTACACATTTTCATTGTCCTAAAATTGTAATGTTTAAAACCATAATGAGTGATCTTGAACAGCTATAAGATCACAAGGATCAATTATCTTGAAAGCTTTGATCTGAATATTTGTCCATTAGCGTGTTCAAATGAATAAGGTTTCCAAGATCACAGGGATACAAATTTGTTAAATCTTGAAGTGAGTTATACTGAATAACCAAGTTCATATAACTGACCTTGACCTTCTTTGGTTAGGAAGGACAAGTATGTTAAAACCTTTTAAACATCTTAAGAATAACCAAGATGCCTAGTTCAATGATATTTTGGCTGGAAGCATTTTGAGATGAAGCTCTACCAAGTCAAATGAATAACCTTGACCCGTTTTCAATGTCACAGGAATAAAATACAAAATATATTAAAACCTTTAAATTTCTTTTTCTGAATGACCAAGAGGCTAAGGGTCATGGTAGCTAGTAGCTAGCTTAGACAAAGCCCTATCAGTTTTATTCAAATGAATGGCATTGACCCAGACACTCAATGCTATAGGGATCAAGTTTGTTAGAAAACTCTTTTGAATACACAGGAAGCCTGCAACTATGATTTTTCGGTAGTAGTATACAGGAATGGAGGACAATCATGTTTCTAAAAATTAATAGCCTTTATTTACCCTCTTTTAAGGATACATGACTAAAATAAGTTAAAATTTTGCAACAAAGATTCAGAAGGTGTAGAATATTATATCAACCCAATAAAGATCTGTAATGTGTAGAGTGAATGCATATGATATTTAACTTTTTTTTTCTTTTTAACTTTAGTTGACCCACTTTTAACACCAGAAATGTGAGATTAATAGATGAACAATACAGGCCATTTTTAACCTAAAGAAATCAAATTGAATTAGACTTGTTAAAAAAGTTTAACTAGAAAATTCTTCATCTTTTCTTGAAAGGCTGTTCTCATTTTGTTTCAGAAGTGCTGCTTTTAAAGACTCTCAATACATTACCGATGAATGGGCGGATGATATGTAAGTTTCTACAGAAGTTTCTAGATGGTACAAACGGTTGAATGTCATGTCCATTCCCCAACAAAAGCCCCCCCCCCCAAAGTTCATTATTGGTGTACATAAAACTTGAGGATTTATAGTTGGTCAGAAACAGAATTACTAGAGAGTAACAATTCCTGTAAAGGGTGTATAGTACCTTTTCATGGGATGCTTTCCCTTTCCGAAACAGTTCAGCACTAAAAAATCTGAAAGACGATTGCCAAGATAATTGGGTTCATTCTGATAAATTAGAGAATGCTGACAAAAATTCTCAGGAATGGGGGATCTGTACTGATATTCTATGTAGAGCATGTAGTCTCAAGTCTATACAGAATATTTGTCTTGATGAGATTTTTTGCATCCCCCCCGATGAACATATTGGTTACAAACTGAATCTTCTTTGATGTGAATGGTTTGAATAAAGGTTGAATTGAGCCATGTTTGATTTGTAAAAACACTTATAATTAACATTCTTATTAATAAATTGAATATTACTTCACTAGTAAATATGATTGAGGACTTATCTGCACATGAAAAATGAAAGGGATCTTTTTGTTTTTCAGTCTCACAAAATATTCTGTGGAGGCTAGAGAAAGAAATAGGAAAATTGCAGAACAAGAAGTGAAATCCAAAGTGTATGAAGAAAGGGTAAGTGTCTTTAATGAGGAGGAATTTAAAATAAGTGATAACCTACTGGAATCTCAAATTGTATCAAAAGTGATGATGAAGTGTCTGGTTTTCAAGGGAAGGAAATGAGGAAATTTTCTTTGAAAGATGTGTTTCTCAGAAGATGAAGAAAACCAGGTGCAATTTAACAAACACTTTTATGCAACTTATCTAGCCATAAAATGAAAATTCTCCAAATTTTATGGACAGATTTGTTGACGAAAGCCTGTTTTTTGATGGCAGGATGTAATTGTAAGAACTGTTAGAGCTACTTATTAATACTATCTTGGGGTTAATACTAGACTTTCAAAGACTTTCTTTTCTTCTATATTTATTGGGTTTAGAATATGTTCACATAAAATTTTATTTGTTCATTTTTCTTAAGAAGGGAGGTAATTCATAAATATTCTGTAAAGCGAGGAACAATCCAAATTGATTTTGCCAACCACGCCTCCTGTGAAATCAATTTTGAAATAACCCTGAGCAGAAACAGATATTTATACTAGAGAATACTTTTGATAAATTCAATATGTTTAAGGTATTTAACTTTGAAAATGTTGCAAAATTTAGACATAACAGTTGTACAGTAAAAGAAAAGTAAAAGATATTTATAAGCCTTGTTTTGTGATGATAAAAAAACCCATAGTAATTTGTTTTGTAGAGAAAAGCACGAGAAGAGCACTTGGAGAAAGAGGTAAGAGAAAACGATTTCTTAAATTGAAAAAAATATGCATGTAAATACAACAGATTAAGTAACAAAGAATGTATCAGAATATGATAAATCAACTCATATGCATATACAAAAGAAATGAATTGATCGAAATGCATATAAACATTTTAGTGGTTATTTATTTGTAGATCCAGATTCGTATGAAAGTACTATCAACAGAACCAGCCTTTGCAGAAGAACCAACTATTGAAGAGATTGAACAAGAGGAGGAGGAGGTAGAAGAAGATGAAAAAGAAGAAGTATTCCCAGGTGTGTAGCAATGTTGTAATTTAGTTCTTGAACTAATTATAATTAATTCATTGATTTTTTGCTTCCAATAATATTAAGTATATTTTTTTTTATAAAGTTTGGGTTCAAGTTTGGACAGATTCTTCTGTTTTTGTACCACTTCATGATGGATGTCTTGAAGGAAGCAGCAATAATTATGTACTTTTGAGAGACAAAAGTTACAGAATTCAAAAAGTTTTCTCCTACAACATTAACATCACTTTAATCCAAAATTTTATGTTTCCCCATGCTGTTGAATATTAAGGATTTTCAGATAAGTGAACTGACTGAAAGGTAGAAAGTACTTCTTAATAAAAGTGACACTCTGTGTTTAAAATGCTGAATCTGATAAAGGCAAATATTTGATAATGATTGTTAATGGTAGGTTATTGTATCAATTAAGTTAAGGCACACTATGATGCAGGAACCCGGTCAAGATGACATTGTTGTATTTGTAGAATTGACAGATGAAATGGATAGGATCATTTCCAATGCTCTGCGGCCGCACCCTGAGCATGAAGTTCTAGTCGAAGCCTTTCGTCTTCAGATTACCCGCAAAGATATGGCTACACTCTCTGGTCTTAATTGGCTGAACGATGAGGTAAGGTTATCCTTAATTGGTTCAACATGTGCATGAAAAATAAAGGATGGAATGATCATCACTTTATCCTGGGGGTTATCTCATCTGTGATAGTTTTAGTTTATCTGCTGATGAGACAACTGCACTGATAGGTGTGTTCATTCCTTGTTCTTGGCATTGTACCAACATCATATTTATCTCATCGTTTTGTAAAACAGAAATGGCACAAAGAAAACACAGCATTGTTGATCTATAAGACTTCATGAACTGTGATGCTGACCCTAAAATTGTAGCAAAGCTTGTTCCTTGAAGTTATTGGGTCATTTGGCATGGTCTGTCATTGAATGTCAAGTCAAAACAGATGCTAAGAAACATGGGGATATCATTCCATAAAAATTAATGAATGGTTATGTTGACCTAGAACTTGTACCACAGGTTAGTCATAACATCGTCACTGTAAGGTACATGTCAGCAATAGTAACATGTGTGCACTAATTGTGACCTCCTCATGAGCCTCAATGTCAAATATTACTTTTGTCTTGTGGTCCGACAGCTGAATGAAATATGATAACAATATTCTGCATTTCTTTTAGATCATCAACTTTTACATGAACCTCCTAATGGAGCGAGGGAAGGGTGAAGGAAAAGCCAAGGTGTACACTTGCAACACTTTTTTCTACCCCAAAATAGTCAGTGGTGGCCACTCAGCGGTCAGACGCTGGACAAAGAGGGTTGATATTTTCGCCCAAGACTACATAATCATCCCTGTCCATCTCGGCATGCATTGGTGTTTAGCGGTGAGTAGTTGTTGGCCTTGAAAGTTTATGTTGTTCTTAAGAATATATGAACTAATGCGACCTTAAACTTGAAGGCTGTTAGAAGTATTGTGAAATGTATAAAAAGGGTCTTCTGTTTTGATGCAGTTTTTTGTGTGCAGTAAGTTACTGATTAAGTAGGAAAGTTTGTAATAAGTGTGAACTAAATGGATTGAATTTGTTCAAAATTCTGTCAATTAAAGTTTTAACACTGTTCCGTATGTATAAATCCCTTTCATATTTTAGAGGTTAAAGTGTATCAGATGGAACTGTGTCCTTGAGCCTTGTATCTCATACAGTACAATCACAGGCATGCTACTATAGGGTTGAGTGTGAGTGCAGAACTCACTCGAGATATGGGTACCAGACTGTTCAATACAGGCTCGTGGTGCTTTCTTATACAGCTAGATAGTCAAGACCAATTTAAGGTCAAGTTTCCAGTTGAAAGAATATAAACCCAGGTACATTTTAAACCTACTAGAAACCCCTATTTGTACAGCATGGTTGATAAAAACAAGTTTATTAGTTTATGTCTGAATGAGAGAATCAATTATCCAGGTGCGATGTGAGTGTTCAGCAGGGAGTGATAACTTAAATTAAATAGTATTAAATTAAGAAATTGATATATTGATCTCTTCTCTTTTTTTTACAGGTGGTTGATTTCAAAAAGAAACTAGTGCAATACTTTGATTCCATGGGTGGAGAGAACCAACAGTGTCTCAATGCAATAAAGTAAGTTATCTTTATGTGTATGACAACATGAGTTATCAGTTGTATTTGTCATCATGACATGAGTTATCAGTTGTATATGTGATCATGACAACATGAGTTATCAGCTGTATATGTGATCATGACAAGATATATCAGTTGTATTTGTCATCATGACATGAGTTATCAGTTGTATATGTGATCATGACAAGATATATCAGTTGTATTTGTCATCATGACATGAGTTATCAGTTGTATATGTGATCATGACAACAGGAGTTATCAGTTGTATATGTGATCATGACAAGATATATCAGTTGTATATGTGATCATGACGACATGAGTTATCAGTTGTATATGTGATCATGACAACATGAGTTATCAGTTGTATATGTGATCATGACATGAGTTATCAGTTGTAAATGTGAGCATGACAACAGGAGTTATCAGAACTTTATATGTGATCATGACAACAGGAGTTATCAGTTGTATATGTGATCATGACAACATGAGTTTTCAGTTGCATTTGATAACATAAGTTGTCTATGTATGTGATTACATCAATTATTTAAGCATTGAACTGTTTTAAAATTCCCGCCTTATCGACAGTCCACACACATTCGTTCAATAGTTGGAACAGTGTGTTGTCGCGTGCTAATTTGCAAACAAAGTAGTACATGCAGTACTTTGATATTTTAACAAACAGCCCCTAATTTTATTCCACGATTCAGGAGTCCGGAACAAATTCCGGGCATAGATAAATACAGTGAACACCGTAAATCTGACCTTGCCCTCCACAAGGGAGTTATTTTTTGAAGTTGAATGGGTAGAGAGAAAAGTTTGAATTATGTCTCGTGGTGCATGGTATTTAAAGTCCCATCAACGATACAGCTTTCAAATAGCCTATATAGTGACATTGCCATGCAAATGTAAATATTTATGTATGAGTTGTCAATGAAACCTGGATTATGAATGTATTACATGTCATTGTTTGTTACAACATAAAAAACATCTTGTCACATCTATGTTTGTGACAACTGGAGTTGTAATATGCATGTCATGTCGCTGTATATGACAATGTGATCAAACATTTCTCCGAAAGCTTCAATGCAGCAACAATGGGTGAACAATGACAGTTTAGATATCAATAATTAATGCATATATTTTAGACAAAGTTATTAGAGATTTACGAACATTTTCTTTTATACTGAGACTTTTTCTTTTCAGAAAAACACCTGCGTTCTGAAATTTGGAAAGTTTATAAAGGTTAAAAAAAATGAACAGTCAACAAGACCTTGAAATAGTTTAATACACCAAACTTATGTTTTGTTTTTGCGAACTTTTTTGAGCTGACAATCAATTTTCTGATAATACAGAAAGTACCTGTGTGATGAAAGCAAGGACAAAAAGAAACAAGAGTTTAATCTCACAGGCTGGTCCACCGAGATAGTCAAAGTAAGTCAAAGGTTACTGATAGCAGCATATCATTAGTTCTATGCTGTTGTCATATAATGTGGGTTCTATGAGGGTTTACTGATTAATATTCTCTTAATCCAGAATCAATAAAGACAGTAATCTGGAAAATTTTATAGTTACCAAGACCCTGAAAAAAAAATCAATGATCTGACACTATGTCAAACTACAGCAAACTTTTAATGAGTTTTGAACACTAATAGAAGTGCTTTGTGGGTTAAATTCAGAGTGTAAATGTGCTTGAGTTGACGGTGTACTATCATGGTATTAAGTTCACTATGACAATTCTAAGTTAACTTTTGTTGTGTTTGTAGGATATACCTCAACAGATGAACGGCAGCGACTGTGGGATGTTTGCTTGTAAATATGCAGAGTACATCACCCGAGGAGCAGAAATCACGTTCACACAGGTGTGCTAGCTGTAACTATGTACATGTACCATTATACAGCATTGTTGTCTGGACCATAACTCCTTCACCAATAAATATATGTTTATGTCACCCTGGTAAAAATACTAGCCGCTTCCTACTGATTCAGCTATGGAGAACTTCTCCTCCTCAGCTCATTTGGTAGAGTGTAAGACTAGTAAGCCAGAGGTCCCAGGTTTTGACTCGTAATGAGCTCTGTAACATTAGCCTCCAGGTAGGGACCCAGGAGATATGACAAATTAGAAATACTAGCGATACTTGCAAAGGAATCGCTATGACCCCTGGAAAGCTCTGAATGAGGTCTGTCCTGGATGGGGAGTATGTCATCCTGGTAAAATAATAGTCGCTTCCTATTGACTCGTCTCAAGAGAATTTCTCTTTAGATCATTCAGTGAAGCGTAAGACTAGTAAGCCAGAGGTCCCGCGTTCAGCTCCTAGCAGTGGCATAAAATATTGACCTCTGTTACATTTATGAAACTTCACATCTATATAAACCATTACTAGGCAGTTTGGCATGTGGTATTTAGGGATTGTCTCCTGGAGATCACGGTAGAAAAGGAAAATCAAAGCCTAATAAACATGTTTTTTAAAAAGCTCACCTAGCTTGGAGTTTATGCCATGGCGTGCTGTCCAGGTTCATCAAATTTGCCTTTAAAAAACTATTAGAATTGTGGAGCAGATTTTGACTCGATTAATACTTTAAAAATGTAGGCAGAGGGGAGGATCCTTTAATAGAAATGGAGGTTTATCATTTAGTCATTAATCTTTCAGAGCAGATGATTTGAACCAAAGTTGGTTCTAAATCACCACTGGGCAAAGGGAACTCAACTTTGAATAAACAAATGGTTTTCCATTCCATGTCCAAGGTTGTAAATTAAATTCAAAGTTAAAATAAATCTTTGAACCTATAGGTCTTGGATGTAGAGTAAATGATACTGTTCAATGACTTCAAAACAAACTGTGCTCATAGATATAATAATATTAATGATAATAATATACAACATTTATATAGCGCCCTATATAATTTGTAAAATTAATCTAAGGTGCTTTACAACATATGGATAATAGTAATGGTTATAATTGTGAAAACAAACAACAAAGGCTTGCAATCACTTTCATACATTTAACAAGCAATGTGCACATAATTGAACAAATAAAAGGGTGGTATTTACATGACGCCTTTGCAAAGATTCTAAAATGCAGACGTGAAGAGGCGAGTTTTTATGTCCCTCTTGAACTTGGCCAGGGTATTTGACTTCCTAATAGCAGATGGTAAGCTATTCCACAACGTAGCCGAAACCCTCCCAAAGCATCTGTTTCCGTAGGTCACAGTACGAGATTTTGGGACACACAACAAAGATTCTGACTCCGACCGCAGTGATCTTGACGGCTGATACAGGGTAACAAGTTCCTGTAGGTACTGAGGAGCTGTTCCATTCAGTGCCTTGTATGTGTATACCAGAATTTTGTACTGCGACCTGTATCGTACAGGTAACCAGTGCAACGAATAAAGCGCAGGTGTGATGTGCTCTCTCTTTCGAGTACGAGTAACTAGCCGTGCTGCAGTGTTCTGGACCCTCTGCAGACCACTAGTTAGTTTGTCAGATATACAACAGAGCAGGGCATTACCATAATCCAACCGAGAGGTAACAAATGAATGCACCAAAATCTTGCATGCATCTGCAGTTAGAAACTGCCGAATACAGGCGATGTTCCTGATCTGGTAGTAACAGGATTTGGCAATAGCGTTCACTTGTTTCTCCATGTTCAGAGAACTGTCAAAGTATACCCCTAGGTTTTTAACAGCTGGGACAGCCTCAATAGTTCTGGCACCAACCTTGAGCTGGAGAGCCATTGTTTGCTGACACTTTGGGGAAAAGACGATTAGTTCTGTCTTTTCCTGTCAGTTTAAGCATGTTGGCGTTTATCCAGATACTGATATCTGTCAGACAAGCTTCCAGACTTTCTGAGACAGTATTCCAACTGTCCTTTGCTTGTGCTTTGTTCCTTATTGTTTCAACATTATGTATTGTTTTTCTATTAGCCATTATTTCTGTCTCTCCCAATTTGTTTGTTGTCATTTCAGAATGATCGTTTTTAAATTCATTATTTACTTTCGTGCTTAGTATTGCAATTCATCAATGCATCTCCCGATTTTAAATTAGAAATGTTGTTTGGAATATTTGAAAATATTCTTGTTATAATACTTGTATTAGTGAATTTTCTCAAATATCAATGATGGATTGATGCATTTAAATCGAAATGTAAATCTTTGTCATTGCAGGAACACATGCCATACTTCAGACGGAGGATGGTGTACGAAGTCCTACAGGCGAAACTGTTACAGTAATACATGGGAGTGCAAGAGACTTGAGGACAATTGGTGCTGTGTGTTTTTTTGTTGTGAGGATGAGTGGAAGGAGAAAATGCAGGGTTACAGATTCAATGACACGAGACACAATTATCAGGATGTGAATCAATAGGACTGACCATTTTTCCATGTGAACGTTAAGGATGAATGTGGTTGTTACAAGTTAAATTTTACTGTGCTATGTACTATAATACAATGCAATGTAGATATTATTATTTGTTTTCTCCACAGGCAATCTATTACTCTATCAAATAAGTTCAGATGTGTTTCTTTTTATTTTAAAGATAATTGAAAAAATGTAAAAGAAAAATAGGATTGGCAAATTGAATATAAAGATGAATGTTGAAAAAATTTAAGTCAGGTCATTGTTCATTTAGGATTGTGTTGTTGATGAGTAAATTTAAATTTATTAAACTAATAACCACAAATGAAATAGCATGTTACAGAATGGTTCTTCTGAAAAAGTGAAAAACGGTTTACAAGTTTGAAATTTGTGAGAAATTTTGTTATCATTTCCGCAGTATATATTTTTTTTCATGACATTAGGTTCGATTTAAGGGGAGACAAATCTAGATCACTAATTAGTGGACACATCAATACAATTCTTACATGTTTGCATTAATGTTCATGCATGTAAGAGTCTTTACATTCAAATTTTCCATAAGAAATGATGATCGACTTCTGAGCAAAGAAACCATGAAATAAGAATGTGATATCACCTGCCATAAATTTCTATTGTTTGATAGCAAATTTTGCTCTCATATTAAAATGAGAATAACATTTTATGCAATTTTGATATTAAGCAATTTCCTAATCTTTATTTGATCATATAAAATTAAATCAAAAATTTAAGCACGTATTTGAAAACAATACATGCTTAAATATTTGATTTTAAATTTCTAAAAGTGTATCTTTGAAAACCATGTGTGACATAATTTTGAATTCTATAAAATATAAATGGTGTATAATATTGTGTCTGGGATCATTTTCATAGATCAGTGGTTATTAAACTGTCTGACAGATTTGCAAGGTAAATTTTGTTTGTGAAACTAATGAATTTGCAAATATAAATAGATAAAATTTGATATTTGCTATTATATCGGTACATGTACTATGTAATGCATAATTGTTCTCGGTTAAAAGTGCTCACGAGTCGATATAAGATTTTGCAGTTCCAAATGTTCTTTATAGTGCGAGTCCCACCAATTGTTAAAACCAAAATGATTTAAGCTAAGTTTTCAGTACTAAAGAGAAAGAAATGAATTAAATTTCAAACTAGAATAGTGCTACCCTAATTAGACAATCTATTCATACTACCATGTTATGGTAACCTGAAGTAATTACCATATTCATTTCACAAGGCTTGTTCTTAATATATGGTTTGTCTACTTTTAAATGTAATATTTCAGGGATAACTTTTGGGGAACCTGCAAATAGTAATGTAGGCCTTTGAAAGTCATTATGCAGGCTTGCCAATAAGCCAGATCAGATCATGAGATCTTGCTCTATTTCCTAAATTAATGACTCTGGTTTAACGAGTCAAACCATTTGAATGTGATGAACGAAAGCAGCCTTTATTTTGGTTTGGTTGACTCATGTTTTTGGAAAGCAAATTGACCGTTGTCCCTGATAATAGTTTTGTACAGAAATATTTACCATACTAATGGTACAGTTCTTCTTGTGACAATTTATATCAAATCGGTTTGGATTTAACAATTGATCATTATTGTTATGTATTTAAAGTAAAGTATCAACAACATCTTCCAAGATGTGCGCTGAATAAAAAAAATTGTATTCAAAAGTTTCAGTTTGTTACATCATGGTACAGTTGTGTAAACAAATTTCCTCCATTCAGCACATGAGGAAGTTTGATGTTTCCAACAAATATTGTCCTAATGATTGAAAAGGAGTGCTTTAATAGAAGTAGAATGGTCGATCAATATGTAACAAACCATTTTCTAAAAAGTTAAAAACGGAAAATCAGAAGAATATACATAAGTCTGGTTTTGATTTTAAAACCAATTCGGAATTAAATCTTCATGTTTACTGTACAGTGTATAGGAGTTTTGGACTCTCCATAGTCTTTTTAAAAAATGGAAAGACAAAATTTGGAATAAATATTTTAAGACTGTTAGTGCATTTAAGATATTTTTCCATAAGTTCTTCAAGTGTGACCTGTATAGAAACAGCAGGGCAGCTGTGCTGTGCTTGTTTTTGTGGTCACAAAAGTCTAAATGCGTGGTAAATTCAAGCATTGGTCACTTTATTGAGTTTGGCTATTTCAAAGCATGACAATGTCAGTGAGTTGCCTATTTCAACATATTATTTCATGGCTTGAAACACTATACTGGTAACTATTTTCATAACGATTTGTTAGAAAAGAAAAATTGAATGTCCGTTTTATTGTAACGAAAGCATTATGAGAAAATGTGTTTGTGTGATGTTTGGAAGAATATGTGATTGTTGAGAGAAAATTTGGTTGCACGTTTGTTCATAAGAATTTGATATTTACAGTGCTCTGGTCACAAATTACTAGACTGCAGTAAAATACGGCTTGTACAAGTTTTGACGTGCAAAAGCACTATATGAATTTCAGACTAGTGGTTCCTGTTGTATCAAGTTTCATTGGCGACTAGTAAAACACATGAAACCTCCAATGAGTGCATGAAACGCAACTTGAACTGCTTCGCTCAATTTATCTTTCCCTTTTTATGTATCAAGATTAATCCAAAAAGCATTCCTTTGATTCAGACAAACCTGTCATGATCATTACATGCACCCTATAGTAACTAGGAGATCATTTGACCAAAGGATGTAGATTTTGATTTCGTGTCAGTTTGTACTTGAATGAGGGAGTTTCGAAGGAGATTGGTAAATTTTGGTCAAAATGAGGGAGTCTCCCTCCTAATGAGGGAGGATTGACAGCTACGAAAACATAGCCAAAATTTCTGACCATAGTGATACAATCAGTTTTATGACAAAACCAAAATTTCTGACTATAGTGATACAATCAGTTTTTCTCCCACATTGGTAAAATTTGAAATCGCCCAGTGTCAATTTGGCCTTTCACATTTGATGGCTATGTTTATTACTAATGTTCGCTCTAATGATTAATCAACCTCATTACGAAGGGTGAAAAAGGCAAAAGTGAAACGGCTACAACAAATTCCCGGTATACAATATCCTTGCAATACATTTGTCAATCTGAAATGTCAGATAATCACAGATGTGTATTTATTACTTATTAATGCATGGTGATCATTTTAAATGCCAAAACATCTGTACTTTAATTTTGATTATTGTAATGCTTCAGTATTTTACTTCAAGTTTCAGTAAGCCAATGAAACTCGATACAACTGTCTTGGATTTTTTCAACAGTCTCTAGGAATTCAATACCTGACAATGGTCAAATGACCTGTTGTATATATGATATGCAGAGAAAAGGAATTGGCAGGGTTGTTGTCTTTTTGTTAAGATTATGTACAAGCATGTTCAGAAATAAATTAAGATTTTGTCTTCAAAACTGTGTTTATAGCATTGACTTTTATGAATTTTATCTTGTACACTATCTTGGAATTAAATAATTGTGCTGCTTTTGCAACATAGAGGAAGGGCATTTTAGTGGTTCCTGCTCTGTTATACGCTTGTTTGACATCTTGTTTAAACTTTGCTGATACTTGAAGTCCAACATTCATCAAATTCGTTTATTTTATGCATGAAAATTTCTCAGTCACATTGGTCGGATCCTGTACACGTGACCAGTCCTCAAAAACTCATGTAGACTGGTTATCCGGTGAATATCAATTTCTAAATATAGCCTATATGGAAATTCCCTGGAACCTGTCGTAGCGCAAGCACAGTTAGACCAGAACGCGATCTGTCGGACGACAATAGAAGATGGCTGCTGGCGAACATTGCTCCTCCGTCCGTTACATCAGAAAATTACCAAAATTATTTGAGAATAAAGATGCAGTTGACATAATAAAGCCATGTGCATGTCCTCCATGCTTATCTTCAGAAAACGAATCTAGACGATGCCTTCGAATGCTACAATGCTGAACTGTTGATTCAAACCTGGCTAAATTTTACACGGAGGCTCGCGTACGAAAATCAAAACCTTTAGTTTTGTTTTATTTTATTGTTGAGGCATAAAATAAAACAGTTATGGGCTTTTGTGCTGGTAAATATGATGTGATATGAACCTGAAAAATGATATTGACCGCGGCTTCGCCACTGTCAATATCACTCTTTCAGGTTCATATCACATCATATTCACCAGCACAAAAGTCCATAATTGTATAATATGGAGCAGCTAGAACAGGAGCATAGACATAAGATATATTTTACTGAAATTCTGATTATCTGATAAGAGGTGCAGTATTGTATTTTTAGCTCATCTAGCCCAAAGGGAGCTTATGCCACGGCGCGTCGTCCGGCTTCAATATTTTACTTTAAACAACTTCTTCTTAATAACCAAAGGGCCTAGGGTGATGATATTTGGCCAGAGGCAAACTGGGATGATGGCTACCGAGTTTGTTCAAATAAATAACTTTTACCCATATTCAAGGTCACAGGGGTCAAACATGTTTAAAATCTTTAAGCGACTTCTTCTGAATAACCATGAGGCCCAGAATGTTGATATTTGGCCATTAGCATGCTTGGATGACGAGCTACCAAGTTTGTTAAAATTAATGACCTTGTCTTATATTCAAGGTCACAGGAGTCAAATATGTTTAAAATCTGGATGACACTTCACAGGTATGTTAACCTTTAACATACTAGTACTTAGAAAGGCTGCGATTGGTCAAAAGGTTAACACGACTTATTCTACATGAAATTTCACCATGATTATTATAGCAGCTGTGCTTTTTGGAAGATTTTGATGAAACTTATGGTTAATTTTACCTTTGACATAACTTGAAAACCTTGAATGTGGGCATAATTTGTCAAGAGTCAATATCTGAAATAAAACTCCATTGCTTTACTCTTTTTGATCACTACTCCATCTGTACTTGACAGAGTTTGATGACACTTCACATGTATTATTATCTTTGACATTGACCTTTGAAATATTTGAATAGTTTCTTGATTGTCAAAGGTCAAGGTGACTTACTAAAATATAATTTTATTATGGTTCCCAGCTCGGGCAGGGTTTTTTGTGAACCTTGCTCACTTTCTTCTTATGTTTTTGCTTCAATACTTTTTAATTAATAATTCAATTTTAAAATCTGTATACAATTTGTTTTGCTGTTTAAACATGTCCAGATTAGAATCTTGGTTTCTTGTTATTTCTACCCCCCCCCCAAAAAAATAAATGGAATGAGGTTTTCTCCAACTTATTAATTATACATACATGATTTTTATAACTTGTTTAAATGATCAAAAATGTTCTCCAGTATATATGGAATACATAGTTAGTGTCTTAAATACAAGCCCCTTAAAACAATATTCATTATTAACTGCTCAGCACTGGAAATTGTCATTTATCCGAAACAAGAATGAGAACAGGCAATAAATAGAACACTTAAATCTGATCTGTGCAGTCAGTATTATGAACAAAAGCTGAAATCTGATCAGCATGCTAAATTATGCAAAAACTGCTATAGAATTTATTAAGTGTGTGATTATTTCTGCATATTCCATTGAGTTACAAAAAAGTGGTATATGAGCATGGATAGATAGCTTCCAACTTTAATGTACCAGGTTACATATAGTAAGAGGGATGAATCCCAGGACACGTCAGCCCTAACCTCCATCCAAAGGATGCTGGAGAAATAAAATCTAATTTGACCCAAACAACGAACAAATATCTTCTGCTGTTTAAAAAAAAGGGTACTCGAGAATGGACAATGAGAAAGTAAGATTTCTCTTCTCTTTGAGTTCTCCCAGACACAAAAATATCAGTCCAGTTTGCAGCAAACCCTCAAACTATAATGGTTTTGTACATGGATAATAAAAGTACGTTTTATCCTTGATATATTTTCACAGATTTAAGACTATCTTATGACTGCATGCTTCCAGACATCCGATCTTGAGGTCATACAGAACAGAGGGTGCACATCTCTCAAATGTATCATTTAAAGGAAATGGATTAACATAAGTACTTTGTACTTGTTTTTGGAATACTATATGTATCTCATGTTTGTATTACTGGAATATTATACTGATGATAAAAATAAAGTTTAAATTGAATATATCCTGTAATATCCATTGCTTTCATGAATAAATGGGATTTATAGAATACAAGATATATTTATCATACATATAGATGTTCTTCATAATAAAGTCTAATTGTCTAAATATCATTAACAGTTACACTGTGGCAGGGTTCAATTGTACATAGGATTAAGGTGCCTTCTAGCTTCGAGCTAGAGGGAATTTCCCTTTAGCTCAGTGGTAGAGCTTCCGACTAGGAACCTGGAGATCAAGGGTTGATCCCCAGTGTATAAATAGGTGCGTGTTGAATAAATCAATGCCAGTTTGATCAATAAAACTATTTAATCTCATAAGTTTCCCATTACTGTTGTTAATAACTTTTGTACACGCTGTCAAATAGTGATAGACACGTTTACGCTAGTCCTATAACGTGTTGACAGTTCGCGCTTGGATGCACATGAGTTGTATTAGGTGCCTGCCATCATGTGTTTACATTATTCCTATAGTTACTGACCCAAGAGGTTAACAGCTAATTCTTATCCAATAAGCGCCTCGCATATTCTTCAGCCCGAGCAAAAAATGTCTACTTCCTGTGTTATGTCTTGATACGACGAAGTTAGGTTATAAGTGATGTCTGTGTGTTAATATATGAAAACATGAGTGATTATACGTTTGATGAGGACGGCAACCCAACCTTGAGGACTAATGGAGCTTCTCAAAGAAATTTCTTTTCGGACGAAGAGGACATAACGAATATTTTCGATGTTGGTGGCGATGGTTTCGATGTTACGCTTTCGATGGCCGAGGAGACCCTCAGCTGGACAAGTGTCAATCCACACAGAGGTAATGTTGTTGTTTATTCGTGTTAATAATAATAAGTGACCTAGCATATCTGTACTTATCCTGTTGTATCGTCATATAAAATGTGCAAAGAGTGTTATTACATTGTTAGCTTCTGTTTCACGGGTCTCTGCAGGATAAGCTCAACAGTTGTTGTCATTTTTAGTTCAAAAATAAGCACAACAGTGTGATTATGAGTCATTTTAATTGACGGATTACAAAGAAAGGAGAGGATTTAGATTATGATTAAATACGTGGCTAACTCTTATGCAGATACGAAAAAAAATAAGTCGCATAGCAGGTGCGTTCTTTCTATTGTACTGATTTGTTAATAAATTTTATTTCATATACAAAGTTGTTTCTTTTCTCAAGGTTATGTTGATAGGTTTCCCGTGTCCCTTTACAACTTGAAAGATATGTTCTGTCAACACTTCATGAATTTTGAAAACCTAGATATGCTGCACATATGACACTTTGTTAACTAACTGTTGGCGAAAATTAAATTCATCATATTTCTGTCTATTTTACATACTTGCTAACATGAAACTGTATTATAGTGCAATATTTCATATGAACAACATGTCATCTGATGTTGTTTAATTCACTAGGCTATCTTAAAATATATTTTCTGACAACCATGCTATGCAGACCAATACATGTGACACTGTCGATCATAGTACTTGAATTAATCAGAACTTTGTATTTCATATTTTCAATTATCAAACTGAAATCATTATATTATATATATATATATATATATATATATGTGTGTGTGTACAAACAACACACCTTCTGCTGTTGTTTATTCAGTGTTTATATTAAGTATTATCAGACAACACTCTACCGTCATGTTCGTTGTCACATGTTACTTTGCAGCCTTTTTAGCAAAACAAACTTAATGCAAATATTACAATTTTTAATAAACAATATTTCCATAGATTTAAATATGCATGGCCTGGACAGATATACCACAGTGATTCGTTACAAATGTCTAAAAAACATATAATGCTATACTGATATGGGTCCTTGAGCTTATGTGTGCTGTGGCTTATATCAGTATAGCAAATCTGAAGCCGTGTATTTTAGACATTTGTAACGAAGCTCTGGATATACAAATACTTATATATAAATGTGTAAGATCCTTGCTGTGATCGTTGTAAATTTTATTTTTGCAGTGAAACTTGTGAGGTCATGATGTGAAATGCTGAGGATTAGCATATTAGATATGTTTAGACGGATAAATCTTAGATAATCTGGTTTACACACGTACTGTAGAATACTGGTGAGGTCAGCCAACACATGACACAGTCCACTGTTAGAAAAGGCAATTTGGTTTATAAAACAAATTTCACAGTAACATTTTCAAAATGACATTTTCAAAGCCAACTTTGAAAAGATTTAAAAGTTTGGCAATGGTCTTAATTTTATTGCAATGATTTTGAATACATTATTTGCATGTTTTAGTTTGATTAAAACGATTATGAAAATATCAGCAGTGGGATCCATAATCTTTGTGCTTCAAGGTCCTGTTCTGACTTCACAAAGTTGTATACAAATTATCATCAAGCACATTTGACCGAAGAGGAATACAAAGTAACTGATCAAACAAATAAACTTTGTCACAAAGTTGTATATAAAAAGCTACTTTACAAAGTGGTTTACTAAGTAACCAATTAAACAAATAAACTTTGTCACAAAGTTGTATATAAAAAGCTACTTTACAAAGTGGTATACAAAGTAACTAATTAAACAAATAAACTTTGTCACAAAGTTGTATATAAAAACAAACTTCACAAAGTGGTATACAAAGTAACCAATTAAACAAATAATCTTTGTCACAAAGTTGTATATAAAAACAAACTTCACAAAGTGGTATGCAAAGCAATTATTTCACAAATTGGTATACAAAGAAACTACTTCACAAAGTGGTATACAAAGTAACTACTTCACAAATTGGTCAACAAAGTTATTTCTTCACAAAGTGGTATACAAAGTAATTTTTTCACAAATTGGTATACAAATTTAGTCTGAAGCATCACTAGGGGAGGGCAATCATCTCTTAAATAAATGAGGTTGGTTCGACCCCTGAGGCCAGGGGGGCGGGGCCCTGAAAAGGAAATTAGCTAAATTTGCTTTAAAACGCATCTCCTCCTAAACACCAGAGATGATTTCAACCAAATTCAGTCTGAAGCATCACTAGGGGTGGGCAATCATTTCTTAAATAAATGAGGTTGTGTCGACCCCTGAGGCCAGGGGGGCGGCGCCCTGAAAAGGAAATTAGCTAAACTTGCTTTAAAACGCATCTCCTCCTAAACTCCAGAGAGAATTGCAACCAAATTCAGTCTGAAGCATCACTTGCGGAAGGCAATCATTTTTTAAATAAATGAGGTTGTGTCGACCCCTGAGGCCAGGGGGGCGGGGCCCTGAAGGGGAACTTAGCTAAATTTGCTTTAAAATGAATCTCCTCCTTAACACCAGAGACGATTTCAACCAAATTTAGTCTGAAGCATCACTTGGGGAAGGCAATCATTTCTTAAATAAATGAGGTTAGTTCAACCTCTGAGGCCAGGGGGGCGGGGTCCTGAAGGGGAAAATTATCTAATATTTTGCTTTAAAACGCTAATATCCCCTAATTGCCTGAGTGGATTGTACAAAATTTGGTCAAAAACATTATTGAGGAAGAACAAACATTTCTTTATTGAATGAGGTTGATTTGACACCTGCAGTCCTAAGAAATGATACAGCTAGATTATATTCTATGGTGTAGTTTTCATAAATTGTTAAAAATTGGTTTCTAGGTTTATAAAAGCTTATAGTTGAATGAAAATTAAAGTATTGTCTAATTACACCCTGAAATATGACATATTACTTATTTCAAAATCTGTTAACATGGCAACTCAATGGAGGCCTCTAATTAGTTGAAAGTCAGATATTGTGGTCCCAGTTGGGTTAGAACATAAATCTTGTCTTGTTTTGAGGAAATTTCATATAAAGATGTACTAATGCATTCCGTTGTAATGACTTAAATATAAAACCAGGTGAGCGATACAGGTCCAATGGTTTACAATAAGTTGTAATAACTTGTGCTATATCGCGGTACTCTTGTTTTTATTATATATTTCATCACACATATCAGAATTGTGCTGATACCTGAATATGAGTTAAATAATATGACATCCTATGTCATTACCAAATATCAAGACTTTTGTTTTATTTGATCTGGACTTGTTTCTGAGAATAATGACACATATATTTAAACAATCATGCTTGTTCAAACAAATGACCTTGACCTAACCCTGTCTCTGGCAAACATTCACACATACATGCATACACAACACATGGGGTATGTTCTTAAATGACCTTAGCTGTTGATAGGAAATTGAACCCTATACAACCAACCAATCAGAATTATGAGGCATATAATTGCTGTGTATATTGTACCCAGTAGTATTCATGATGATTATCAACCAGTATGTTTCTATATAAAAAAGAACCAGTTTGATGTCTATATCTACAAACAAACTACTCAGTGTTTTATGCCATTATTTTTCTGATTAGACTGTATTTTTTCTTTTGTAAAACATAAGGTCTTGATTGACTATAGAAATAGAACACTATTATGAATAATTTATACCTGTAGAGGTGTTACGTAATACTGGCTATACCTATACTGTATTGATTTTTGTCAAACACCCGACAAGGTATAGTATATATATATATACATATATATGTAATACAGTCTCCTGTAGGGCAATTTATTGTCCAGTTAAAACTTCCTGAATCTACATTGGTAAGAACCACTAGCCACGGAGAAAGATTAAATGCAATTTTGTACAGGAACAAAATGATTCTCCGATAAAGACTGGGTTAAAGGTCCCTCCCTGTACATATTACTGCCAAAAACTGTACCTATGAATTGGAAACCCTTTTTATGAGTATGACACAAGGTTCAACAATTAATTTCTGAAAAGAAACCCATAGCTTGAAACTTATAAATATATATATAGTTTGTAGATATCCGAGGAAAAAATAAATAGTTTTCGGTTCTTTCCTGTTTTGACCCTTTTTATGAGTATGACGATAGGTTCAACAATTACTTTCTGAAAAGAAACCCATAGCTTGAAACTTATATATATATATATATATATATAGTTTGTAGATATCCGAGGAAAAAATAAATAGTTTTCGGTTCTTTCCTGTTTTGACCCTTTTTATGAGTATGACGATAGGTTCAACAATTACTTTCTGAAAAGAAACCCATAGCTTGAAACTTATATATATATATATATATATATATAGTTTGTAGATATCCGAGGAAAAAATAAATAGTTTTCGGGTATTTCCTGTTTTGACCATGAATGCATTTTATGCAGAATAAAAGAAACATTTTGAATGGTTAAAAAAAGGAAATAGTCATAGGAATTCATAAACACATACCTCAGTTTACACGATGGATCGAGAGATGTATGGTAACAGGTGCAGAGCACATCCATACTGAGGTCAGGAACTCGTAAGAAATTATCAAATTACCCCCCCCCCCCC